GTGACAAAGAAGAGAAAGGACACTTGAGTTACATGGAGTGTAGAAGAAAAAAGCGTCTGAAAAATGTGGTATTTTTCAGTGTAGCCGCATTTCAGTTAAGCAAGAGGATAAAGGGATCATTCAAGGAAAGGGCTGAGAACAGAATGGAGTAGGCTTGTGAGAGTGGCTGCAAAACGCATTGAAGGATTTGAGCAGGAGAGAGGGTTGGGAGTTAAGATCCGATCAAGTAAATGTAAACTATTGCAGGGGGATAATCATTTGTGTTGCACTGCATGGTATTGAAATCTGGATTTCTGTTGACGTCCAAGGATGTAGGCACAGTGGATTAATTATGGAAACCAAAAAAGGGATTGAAGACCTTAAAGCAGCTGCACATGGAGCTTGAGGGGAAAGGTCAACTCAACAAAACATGGAATAACTAGAGACTGGAAATTTGGTTTTACCCTCGAGTAGAGAGGCTGACTTGCAGAAACACAGAGGGGATTGGATAATACAATTTCATTTGAGAACTGTGTGAAAGATTTGAAGGTTCCAACTGACTACCAGATCAATAAAAGCTGAAAACATGATATCACTAAAGAAAATGAACAATGTATTCTTTGACTGCAGCAATAAAAATTCACTGTCCAGAAAAATTAAATATACCCACTGGCTAGTAGAATATATCCAAAGCAACATGGCTGATTCTGGGTTCTTACAGAGAAACATTGGCAAGTGAGAGTCTATCCCCAGATCCTGAACATGTAGTGGAAATCAAGAACTTGTCATGAGCACATGGGGTGATAAAAAGGTTCTCAGTGACTTGAACAAGCATTAATAAATAGAAAGTTCTACTTCTCTAGATACAGATGTCTGGACCCTTCTGGATATCTTAGGAGCCTTTAAGAGTATAGAGAACAGATTGCTTGGGAAATCTGATCTTTCCTTTTAAAATGATCTTTCTGAAAATGTAACCTGTGGGCTTTATGTTTCAGAATAATCTAGGAAGATCATTAAAAACTGTATGTTTCTGGGTCCCTTTCCAGATCTATTTAATTGAAAATCACTGAGAATGGATCCAGAAATCTGTGTGTTTTAACATGCACAGGAAGACTTTGTTTCATCATTGATGTGCTAATGGGAGCCATATGACAGGTGGTGAGTTTGGTACACCATGCTATATGGCAGAGAAGTTAGGTTTATCTTGGCTCACCGAAATATCCCAGGGTCCAAATAATAGTAGACAATAGTAGAGACACTCAAAAATGTGGTGATTTAATTAATGACTGAAGGAATGAATATTTTCTATAATCTAGATTTAAGTCCTCTATTCTCTCAATTCCAACTTGATAGATTGCTATTGATTAAACACCTTTTTTTTTTCTCACCTCTACCCAGACATTTCTTCACCAAATCCACCTCTTCCAGGGTCTCTATGATTGAGCTCCCGCCCATTTAACCTTTCTTCAATCCACTCCTATCTTTGATTTCCAACACTCTTAGTCTAAGCTAACTGACTAAGAAAGGGTGAGCCCTTTCATTTAATTATACAAGTTTGATGCTGATGCAAACCTGTCTAAATAAACAGGTTGAGCTGTGGCCATTCAGTTACAAATTGGTCAGGACAGTCTCACCTGGCCTGAGAAGTTCTCAGGGCTTCTATCAAGCCCAGAGGGGTTAAACATGGCCATGACATCACCACTTCTAGCAGAGGTGGACATACAATTTACTAAGGCTTCCTATGATCACTCACTTCAAGTAGTTGAAGAACAAACCCATGAAAAAGAAAACAGAGTTCTTCTGAGATTTTCTAGGATCAGTTAAGACTAGGGGGAATAAGTTCTAGAAAGAAGACTTGGATTCAAAATAAAGAACAATCTAAAATTAATCTCCCCACTATGACATCAACTGCCTTGAAGTAGCCAGCTTCCTTTTACTTAGAGAATTTAAATTAAAGCAAAATAATTTATCTGGAATAGAATCATAAAGCTGGAAAGAACTTTAGAGATCAATTTAATAGACTACTATTCCAAGCCCCATTTTATATGTGTGGAAGCTGAGGTCTAGAATAATGGAGACATATGGAAGAAATCCATATAGTTTATTAAAGCAAGTGATAGGAACATCACCTGGCCTTAGGGCTTTGTCCAGATACCTCCTTAAATTTTATAAGCCACACATGCCTTGGTTTATATGACTCCAAACATCTTGTCTAAATTCTAAGACTTACGACTCTGCATTTTGAACTCACCACTTTTTCTTTTTTCTTGTTTATAGCCAGAATTTTATAGTTAATTAATTTTACATGGAAATGAAGTGAATCATGACTCTCGATTTGCATATTTGCAAATTGAAAAAAATCAAAAACAAATCTTCCTGAACACAGCATATGACAACCTGTTATTTACCGACAAAGAAGTACCTCTTTTTTGGCAGGTGAAATAAATTAAACAGTATCCACCTTCTTGTTGTGTGAAACAGGATCCTCCCCTCGGGTGGGTCTGGGAATACAATTTTGCCAACCGTATGAAAACGAAATAACATTTACAAAATGTCTGCCTGATAGTTGATTTGTATACATAATCACATTCCATTTCATTTAATCCACACAATATCTCTGTGAAATGAATATTATGGCCATTTTACAGATGAGGAAATTTGATCTCAGAATGGTTTAATGCCATGCTCAAAGCCCCATAGCCAACGTATGGCGGAACAAGATTTGAAATTAGATCTCAGGGGGACCAACTATCTATTAGGATTTGCCCAGGGCTGAGGAGTTTCCCAGGAGATGGGACTTTCAGGGTTAAAGTTAGAAAGTCCCAGGCAGACTGAAACCCTTACTCATGCTAGTTAGGTTTGAAATCCAGGGAAAAGGTTTTAAAAAGTTCTTCCCCAAGCTCACCAAATGCCAGTGGCTCAGTTTTGGGGAGCTGTTATGAGTTATGATAAAACCTGATAAGACACACAGATTTCTGGACCCGTTCTCCATCATTTTGATTGGACGAGTCTGGCATGAAACTCCAGAACATTTATTGTTAATATCTTCGTAAATTATTTTGATACACACCGTCCACAGATTACATTTTTAGAAAGGCCATTTTGGAAAGTGCAATCGGACTTCCCAACTGGTCTCTCCTTTATACTCTTAAAGGGTCTTCCTACATCCAGAGGAGCCTGAACACCTGCCTCTGCTGGCGTCACTAGACATATCTGATTTAAACTCATCATCATCCCAGAGGCCCCTGTCCAGCTATGTTTGGCAGTAAGCGGATAACGAGTCTTTTTTCTTAAGGGAAGATGGGAAGCCATTCTACAGCCCGTGCAGCCAAAGGCCAAGGTTGAAGGGCACCAGTTGTGCGCTACAGCCATGACTCAGGCATTGCAATGATGCCTTCAGGCCAGTAGTTCTCAAACTCCAAGTGTGGCAGAGTCACACGGGGATCCAGTGAAACATCCACATTCTTGCACTGTACCTTCTAAGAGTCTGATTAATTGGTCTGAGGTCATACCCAGGAATATGCATTTTACATGCCCTTTTTCCCCCACTAGGTGAGTTTGCTGCCTCTTTGATTGCCTGGTCAAATTCATAACCTTACATTCATTCTCTGCTTATTTGGTAGCCAACGCAAAACTAAACCCTGGCTGGGAGAGGAAGATTACATTCATTCTCTGCTTGTTTAGTAGTCAATGCAGGAAGATTTGGAAAATACCCGAATTGTATAAAAACAAATTGTAAACTAGTTTAAGAATTTTTTTAACCTAGTTGACAGTAGATTCAATCATGTGCCTGCCTTTTGTGTGTGTGTGTGTGTGTGTCTGTGACAAAATATCCATTTTGAAACTATCCCCAAATAAAAGCATCTGGATGTGAAAAACAACTTTTTTTTTTACATTAGGCTTTTTACTGATTTCTTCTCCTTGTCATTCATATTTCAGTGCAAATTTTCTAAAGTCTTTTACATAGAACAGTTTTAAATTCCATACAAGGCAAATTGGGCAAATTCCATTTCAGAATTGCAGTTGTGTTGACACACGGTAATCTTATTAGCAATAAAAGGATATTACCTATAATTGAATAGCTGTGCAATTAGCGAATTTCAGAGCCAGAGAACACCATCATTCTTCAGTTTTACATTTGTTTTTTACCCACAGCAGGAAATGTTTGAATTACCAACAAAACTATTAGCCTGTTCTTGGTCTACTAAATGAAAAAATAACTTAATAAAAAATGGCTTTACCCAGTATAAATATTAACTACAGTTCATGCAGATAAGTTTAACTTCAGCAATTAGGAGTGTGTTGTGCCTGTCCTTTTACAAATAATGTTTACATTTATTTCCAGTAACCTAACATCTATGTCATCCTCAGATCTGATTGAGTAAAATTCTCTGTTGACAATAAAAGCCAGGCTTCCATTTATTTACACAAATATCTCTGTGGGGAAAAAAATAATTATTTATTTGGAGAAATTATATTTGGTGTCTTCATGACAGCTGTGTAATTGAGTTGTTCTAATATAACACATAAACACACACACACACATAGACACACAATTCCCTTCAAAATGGATTTAGGTATATTCTAGGGTTCAACATCACCCATGGAACAAATTACATTAAAATTACAATTAACTTCCTCTCAACTGTCAGCAGAAATCCATGTTGCTGTGTACATACTGCCTCTTCCTCACTTTTATTAAGCCCCTTTCAATTATGAGAGAACATAAATTGGAAGGATGTTGCCATGTCATCTACGGTATTAAAATGTACGAGGAACACTGACCCTGGCCTCCAGAGATTATGTGAAAAGCCATTTATATGCACAGCTGTACAAATTGCCTGAGTTTAATACTAAATTCTGTGGAAAATCATCTTTGCTGCTCTGCATCTGAGGAAGGACAAGGTTTAAATATTTAATGTGTTCCCTTACCAGACAAGCCCAGTCAGCAGTGAATTAGTGAACCGGTCAGTACAGAGAGCTCTTTTGGGGAGGGACAGGTTTTGCCTTTAAATGCGACGAATGACCTGAGTTCACACTCAGCTGAAAACAGCAGCCAGCGGAAGAACAAGCAGGTTAGTCCATGCTGCATTCCTTGAAACTGTCTTACAGAAAATGATTCTCAGATTGACTCCTAGAGTCCTGTCCCCAACCTGTTCTAGAACGTTGGGCACGGCAGTGTCTCTTTCCTCCTTTTATGTGTCAAACCTTTCTTCATAGGTTGTATATACTGGTCTTGAAAATATATTTTAGACATATTATTAAAAGAGCACCACTTCATGTGGTGGTGCTTTCTTCGTTTTCTTTTGGACAGGAGCCTTGTGTCAAAGTGTAGCTGTGAGAGTGATTGCCACGGTTCGAATTCCCCGTGACCACTTGCTGGCCAACTCTGTCAATTTACTTATCATCTATGTGCCTCAACCTTCTCATTTGTAGCAATTAAGAAAACCAATTTTTATTTTTTAAGAAGTGGAGGTGATTATAACCTATCCACAGGATTGTTTTGAGGCTTGGTAAATGAAGTATAGTATTTTTTTTTTTAATTAGCTATTTTCCAGAGTGCCTTGTTTTTAAATTAGCACACACAATCTTCTTTATATTGAGCTGAACTGTGTCTCTTTGTTGCCTTATTGAGGTATCTCACTGAACATTTTACCTTACTGGGGACTCTCCAGAGACAGAGATAGTTGCCCAGGAGCTAGTGAGATTCCTGTCACAAAAAGGTGTCCAAGAAGAAGCCAATGTTAATGTTGCAGACAGCATCCAAGCTTTGAAGGTACGACGACGTCAGGTCAACTCTCAACTGGAAGGGCAGAAGAAGATCAGAAAAATGGAGGGGGGTTAGGAAGTGTGAAAGTACAAAGCAGGTGTTGGAATCACTGGGCAACATTTTCAAAATGTAAGAGTTAAAGTCTCATCTTGCATGATAGGATGAAGGCTGAAGGAGTTAGAAACTCCTTCCAAACTAGCCCTCTTCCCCAACCATATTTTGAAAATTACTAGATTAATGATACCCAAGCCAGGTTGATCATTTGAATCACTCAGGCTGAGTGACAGCTTGAATCAGGACTGGAGACATTCATCTATATTGAAGAGTCTTAATCCCGTACACATTAGAGTCAACTGGGGAGTTTTCAAATGTACTAATGATTAGGCCTCACCCTGAGTCAGTTAAATCAAAATCTCTGGGAGACCGGCCAGGGCATTGAAGCATTCATAAAGCTCCCCAGGTAATTTTAATGTGTAGCTGAAATTGAGAACCAATGATCTATAGAAACTCACCTAGATAACTTTACATGTTCTATTAAACCTGCAAATCTATGACTTTCAGCATCGCAAAACTAAATAAATGTAAACCTCCAAAATAATAATTGTTATATAGATTAGGATATATATCAAGGTGCATCCTCCAAAATGTAAATACAAAGAGAATAGCGACAATAATAATAATATCAGTTTTTATTTGTTTGCGGTTTCAACTCTCATTCAAATCACAGTGGCTGTGGTTTAGGAAGTTTAGGAGGTTTAATTGATTTGGCGAAGATTATAGAGCTGATTAAAAGTCAAGCTAGGACGCAAGTCCAGTTCTTCACACTCTTAAATTAGTTCTGTTTCCACTCTGTCACCATCAGGTAGTTTCCCAGGTCCTTTGGTACCCAGTGGTGCTTATGTTAACAGACCATCCATGCTCCCTCTCTTCAACATATTCCACAGCAAAGTTTAGCTATCAGTTATGGCTCCAAGCAAATCTTTAGCTTCTAACATACTTCGAGACTGGACCTCCTTTATGTTTACTTTCATTGATAAATTGTGGTCACAGAAAATTGGTGACAAGTTGGAGTTTAGTGAACTTGCAGGGCTTTGATTGCCCTTACCATACTTTCATATGCAATAACTCTGGATGAAATAAAATAATCAACTTACCTGTTTTGTTTTGTTTTTAATCAGGAGGCAACCTGGCCTCTTACTCAAAAACACATAAATCAGATTTTTTTTTAAATATAAAAGGTAATAAGAATTTTAGTATCCAAATCACAATGCTGAAATTGAGTTTGACATTTCTAAGTTTCTTGCATCAACAATGAAAGTGGTTGCCACACTTAAAAATATATTCTGCTTCACCTTTTAGGAAAAATGGAATAGATAAACCTTTCCTCATTCCTTACATGAGGTACCATTAAAATCCTTGTTTATATATAAAAAAAAACATAAAAGACTCTTAAAGGTAAAGATGAGAAGGAAGACCACCTTGGGAACTCAAGACTTGAAGGATGGCACAGTGGTAAATTATCTGGGCTTTCTTTTTGTCTTATATGTCCCAACTTGAAGACGAAGGCGTCAGCAGCCTAGAAATATCAAAAGATATAGATCAAAAAACACACACACACAAAATCTTAATCTCTCTAGCTAAAGTACCAGGAAAGAATCAGCCTAGAAAGCCAAATCAAGAAGGAAAAATAAAGGCTCAAATTATAAAAATCAGGAAGGACAGAGGGGAAATATAATTACATTATAGAAATAAAAGATGATCATAAGAAAATGTAATGAACAATTCCTAAAACTTCCTAAAATTCTTAAAAAGACACAAACTACTAAAACGGACTCAAGGAGAAATAGAATAAGACAATAGGTCTTTCTTTAACATGTAAAAATATTTATTTAACAATCAAAACACCTCCCACAAAAGAGATCTGAGGAACAGATGGTTTCATTGATGGAGTCTAACAAATATTTAAAGAATAATTAACACTGGAATTCTTACAGGTTCATGCCTTAGGTTTAAGTCTGTTATCCACTGAGTTGATTTTTGTGAGAGATGAGAGGTGTGGAGAATTCTAGAAGAAAATGTTGAAGAAAACTTAAATGTAATACCTGAAATTATGAAACTACTAGAAGAAAACACTGGGACAACAATCCAGAATATTGGTCTGGAAATTTGGGGTAGGACCTCAAAAGCACAGGCAAACAAAGCAAAAATAGGAAAATGAAATCACATAAAGTTAAAAAGCTTCTCCACAGCAAAGGAAACAATCAACAAAGTGAAGAGGAAACCCATAGAATGGGAGAAAATATTCACAAACTATCCATCTGATAAGGGATTAATAACCAGAATATACAGGGAGATCAAACCACTGAATAGCAAAAACCAAATATTCTGATTTAAAAATGGGCAAAAGATCTGAATAGACATTTCTCAAAAGATGATATACCAATCGCCAACAGATATATAAAGAAATACTCAACATTACTAATCATCAGAGAAATGTCAATCAAAACCCCAGTGAATTATAATCTCACCCCAGTTAAAATGGTTTTTACAAAAAAAAAAAGACAGGGAATTATGGATGCTGGTGAGGATGTGGAGAATAGGAAATCCAGGTCCACTATTGGTGAAAATGTAAGTTTCTATAGCCACTATGGAACACTGTGTGTAAGCTTCTCCAAAAACTAAAAATGTAACTATCATATGACCCAGCAGTTCCACTACTGGTAAATCAAAGAAATGTCTGCACTTCTATTTTTATTGCAGCATTATTCACAATAGCCAAATGTGGAATCAACATCAGTAATCATCAATGGATGAATGGATAGAGAAAATGTGTGTGTATATTTGTACACATACACAGTGGAAAATTATTTGGCCGTAGAAAGGAATGACATCCTTTCATATGCAGCAACATGAATGGAACTAGAGGTCATTATGTTAGGTGAAATTAACCAAGCACACAAAGGCAAATATCTCACATTCTCATTAATATGTGGGACCCAAAAAAAGTGGATCTCATGAAGATAGAGAGTATAATAGCGGTTACCAGAGGCTGGGATGAATAAGGGAAAGGAGGAGTGGAGAGAGTTTGGTCTATGGGTAGAAATATATAGCTTGATAAAAGAAATAAGACCTAGTGTCTGATAAATCAGCAGGGTGACTATGGTTTACAATAATCTCTTGTATACTTCAAAATAGCTAGACGAGAATAATTCAAGTGTTTCAGGCATAAAAAAAAGACATATTTAAGGTGATGAATAATCCAATTACAGTGATTTGATCTTTACAAATTATATGAATACCCTGATTATCAGATGTGCTCCTCAAATATGTATATCTATTATGTGTCAATAAAAATATAAATAAAAGACTATATTATTAGCCATTAGTATTATATAATATCAAATTATACTATAATATAGGCTTTTTGCCATATCTGCCTAAATTAAAAGCAATATCTAAACATCATTTTAAGCTATTACAGTGCTATTACATGTTAACCATCCTACATCACAGTCACAGTAGTGAGGAATATAAAAACCCTAGAATAAAAAAAAGTAATAAGTAACCTTGGTTTTCTTACTGGTAATATATAATGCAAGCTTCCAGTTGTTAATGGCTTGGGAAATTGGTGGCCAAATTGGAACATACGTGATTCTCCTCTGTCTTAATCTTACTTTTTTAATCCCAATCAACTGTGATATAGTGAAATGATTATTGTTATGTCATCTGCCACTAGACAGCCCAGCTTGGAATGTGATCAAAGCTGAAGAGTGACCTAGGAGTACACTGGGAAGGAGTGCCCCTGTTTGTAACCCTGTGTTAGAGAAGTCCTCAAAATAGCACACATGTGCCCCACTGTGATACAAAGATTGGAAAGAGAACATTTGATGCTTCTCTCAAACTGTGTCTTCTCTCAAACTGATGTAGCCAGAGGATAGAGCAGGCAATGGATGGTCTTTTTCCTTCTCCCAGATGAGGTCCTCCAAGAGGTTTCTAGGGCCTCATACAAATGACCTTCATCAAGCCTTCCTCCCTCAGTTTGCCTGATCTGCCCAGACAGTGTTCAATATCTGTTTTAATGAACATGTACGGCACGCCATGCAGAGATTTTCTGTCTTGCCATCTATCTACAAAACTAAAAGGGCTGACATTTTCACTCACAGCCCTCTGAATTATTATAAACCCTATCAAAAACCTACAGAAAAAAATACATGACAAACTTATATTCAATTCAACTTACACAGATATACATATATATGACATAGATTTGATATTCTTTCAAGTGTCTTTCATGTGTTGTCTAAA